GCAGTAATGTATGCATAAAGTAATGTGTACCCCACCTACATATGGCCATATAATTGTACTCTAGTCAATAAAATGTAAACAGAAGTGCTGTGTTGGACTTTCAGGAAAGTTGCTTATAGTAAACCAGGACAATATTTCTCCTTTCCCCCTCCCTCCTTCCTAAAATACAGATATCATATTTAGAGACAAAAACCCCATTTTTGACCATGGAATGACCTTGAGGATAAAAACTACACTATTTAAAAGGAGTTGGGTCAATTGTGAAGATATCTTTCCAGACCATGATTCAGCCTCTGGACTTCTTTTACATGAGAGAGAAATAAAACATCTTTTGAAATCAATTTTACCTTTAGTTTCCCAACACATGCAGTCAAACCTAATCCTGATAGAGAAATTATATAGTGTGTATGTTTGATTCAGGTATAAATGTCCTTAAAGCAATTATAATCCTTTAAGAGGTTTATTTCTAAATAAATCCTTCTGGAAAATTCATTGTATGTGGAACTGAAATCTATTGCTGAAAGAAACTATCATCAACATAAAGAATCTATAAACAACCTGTTCGGTGAATAAATATTGAGTCTGCAAGAAAAGGTGATTGGAGATGAAAAACTGGCTGGGGCAATTAAAGAAAGAGGAGATTCTCTTCAGGTGGGTTAAAAAGAAGAAATAAGGCTTTTGACATCATATGGGAGGGAACACTGTGTTCTGCACCTTCAGTGGCTCTTCTATTTTTCTCTCTCCTAGAATATTTGATTCTGTGGCCTCTGGTAAAAGATTAGAGAAGGAAAGCCATAGTGAAAGTATTAAGGATCTCCTCACTGAGCAAGGAAGTTTGAAGCAATTAGAAGAAAGAAATCTCAATAGTGTGCTCAAAACTGAAAGCAACTGAGAAAAAAAAAAAACTTGAAACGTGCTGAAGAAGGCCATTGGGAGGTTTTGGTGACAATCTTGCCTGTTTGATAGAAATCTGATTTAATCATGGGAGGCCTAAATTCCAAGCTGGGATTTCTAGTGAATTATAAACTTAGTTTCTCTATGAAGATGATCTTCTATTCAGATTTTTTTAAATAGCCCACTATCACCACCTGGCAAAAATATACCTAAATTACAGGGAAATACTGGTGGAAAGGCTTAATTTGCAGAGAATATTCCTTTCTTGTTTTCTTAAAATGCTTTTAATTAGCATATTTGGAAAATAGTGCAATATGGAAACCAAGTTCTTCCAGTAACTGTGCAGATAATAATGTCCATTCTGTTTGAGTCTATTTATTGCAGTTACATTTCTGTTATGACCGTATCTTACAAAGAGCTTACATATATTATCTCATCCAACTATAATGCACAGCTTCTCTATGTTATCAAGGAATGTGAGAAAGAAAACCAAGGCTCTGAGAGGTGACATCATGAGCTAGACTACTATGTAAAAGGGGACATCTTATGTTTATTAACTCTTTTGGCATATAATCTGGTGCCCATTTCTACTAATCCTTGCTGACTCAAGAACAAATGTGGAGGGTTTTGATTTTATATTTCTTTAATCAGGAGTCAGTTTTGTACTCTACAAGGACAAGCCAGGAAAGAGACTAAACCACACCAAAGGTGACTAGACAGTCTTGGGATGTTAGTAATAACAAAACATAGGCTTCATTACTGACAGAATAGTACAGGCAAGCAGTGCACATAATATTCCTGCCTACTATCACTGACTGAATCTCCCCAACAGAAATAAGTCCAAAATATTGATTAAATCCTCAGGTTATCATCCTTTGTGTTAGCCATTTAGTCTAAGATCATTATTTTTATAAAAATGAGAAAAGGTCTTTTCCATCAGTGCCCCCAGATAAATTATTGAAATTTCTTCTCATTTCAAAATAATTTGTCTACTTCTTGAACCCTCACCCCAGTTGCGTGTGTTGTGAATCCTGACAGCTGAAAGAGAATCTCAGGTGGACTGACCACCAAGATTAGAGTCAAAGGGAGTTATAGACGTAACTCCAGCATAGTAGTTTTTATAAAGAACTTTCATGTGGTTTGTATAATTTTATCCTTACAGAAATTCAGCATTGTAGCCATTTGCAGTATCTTCAGTTTTCACTAAGATAACTGGCATCAAGAGAGTTCAATGTCTTACTCTAAAAGTGGTAAAATCAGAAATTAAACCCAGGATTAGTTGTTCTTGCTGCTGCTGCTGCTGCCGCACTGCTGTTATTCCAAATTGCAAGCTTACTATATAATAGTACATTCAATTAAAACTTCTACAAAGTCTCCACACAAAATATAAAATCAGAGATAGAGCAGACTGATTACTCACAATGAAGAAGATATGCAAGAATTTTAACTCGAGTTGCTTGTCCTGAGAGTTAATTTTTTCTTTTTTTGATTTAATTTTATTTATTAGTACATGTTTGCAGGACATGAAGTTTACATTTATTTTAGAGAGTACTTAGTACACATACTTAACATATCTTGATATTCTTTTTATTCTTCTGCCCCTCCCCACATACCCCCATTGTCTCTAGGTAGCTAATTTTGTTTCAGTTTGACTGGGTGGGATGTTGCCCAAATAGCTGGTAAAATATTCTTTCTGTGGTGTCTGCACATTTCTGGGAGAGATTAGTACCCATCAGGAGGCTGGGTGAAGATGATATGCCCTCATCAATTTGAGTGGACATCACCTATTTCATTGGTGGCTCGAATATAACAAAAAGGCAGAGGAAGGGTGACTTCTCTCTTCTTGAACTAGGACTTTATCTTTTCCTGAGACATCAGAGTCCTGGTTCTCCAGACTTCAAATTCAAGACTAAACTGCACCAGCAGCTTTCCCATGTCTCCAATGTGTGGATGTAGGTGAATGGACTTCTAACCCTCTGTAATTATGTATGCCAATTTCCATTATATACATATATATTATATATATATATATATAACTATTTAGCTATTTACTTATATTTATGTA